AAGGTAGACAGATATTAAATAAGTTGTTACATTGAATATACTTGAGTTTAATTTTATAGTGTAACTAGGAAGAATAGCTTTCTTGATATATTTTTAAAATAGAATAATTAAAGGTAAAAAGATAATTTCATTTATTTATAAATAAATACATATTTAATAATTTTGTAAATAAAATAATATAAATATAAAATTTAAAATTTTATGCAAAATATGATATAAAAAGAAATTCTTATTTTGCATTACTCATGGTTGCATTAATAACATCATTAATATTATAATCTAATTCATTTTCAGATTCCATAGTACTATCACTATTTATTTTATTTATTTGTTCTTCTGAAAAGATATTAAAATCTATTATTTCTGTAACTTCTAAATTTTCACAATCAAATTGTTTAATTTCATTTAGATTATCTTCATTAGAAATATAATCTTTATCAAATTCTTCAGAATTGTTATTAAATATATCATCATCATATTCAATTAGATTTGAATAATTTTTCATTATATTTCAAATTCTGATTCTGAAATATCATTAGTAACATAATTTAGTTTATTTGGCGTTAGTCATATAATATGTATATAGTTTTGTGATATTTAATACCTTTTATACAGTTAATCTATAAAAATATAAATTATTAAATATATTAAATTATGTATATATTGTTTGTCAAATTAAAAATTATGTTAAATTAAAAATTTAAAATTTTATTAAAATTAAATAAAAGTTCATATTAATAATAGAATAAGTATTTTAATTTAAAATTATTTAAAGTTAATTAATTAGTTAATATTAATATTTTGAGTCTAGACAGAAGAAAGAAAAGAAATTTAAACAAACACATATTATACTATAAAATATTAGTTAATCTAAACTACTTGATTTATAAAAATTATTTAGTGTTGTAATTAATTTATTTAATTTTAGAAGACTATTAATGAAAGAAGAAACAATATTAACTAGCTAATTAACTTTAATTAGTCAAATATAGATATTAATTTAATACTTAATATATAAAAATTATTTAAGTTAATTACTTGATTCTTCTTTTTTAGATAATTTAACTTAAAACAGAAAATATTTACTTACAATTTACACTATAAGATGTAATTGCTAATAAATGTAAAGTAAGTTTTTATAGCTAATAATTTTGTAATTTATATTTGCACTACCAAGTTTGAAAAGATTTGATTCTTTCTACAAAATTAAAATTATATAGTGCTTCTTTTATATCATATATTTTAATTTGTACTACTAATGCAAAAAACTCTGTCAGAACTATAATTAAAAAAGATCTGCAAAGAATTTCTATTTAAAAAAACAAGAACAAGATTAATATGAAGAAGAATGCAGTAACTGGCATATCCACAGAGTCAGGAACAACCAGATAAGATATAATCTAACAATAAATAATATTAATATTAAGAATGCTTAATTTAAGAACACATAAAATTAAAAATATTGAAATTTATAGACAATCTGGCTGGTAGATTATGTGAAGTTAGAAAACTGCAGACTGAAGAAAATAGTAGATCCTACATTATAAAACTAGAAACTTAGAATGTTATATAATAAACTTAATGAAGTATAAGTTATCTTATAGTTCAGTAACATACAGAGGTTATACACTGTTTGATAATCTTTACAAAATGATAACTTTGGCTTTTAAAAGATGTGACAGGTCCTAAAAATATTTAAAAACTTTTAAAATAGCAGAGAAAAATAAAAATAAAAGAAAAAAAAAGAAAAATATATGTTAAAAAATAAATTTTTATATCAAATTCTTTTTATTATTTGTTATAAAATTGAATATATAGTTTAGAAAATTCTTTATGTTCTATAAATTGTTCTTTTTAAATATATTATTAATAGTAGTTGTCATTTGAATAAAAAATAAAAAATATTAGTCATTATTGTAGATTTTAATTTAATTATTTTAATAATATTTTTAGCAGATAATAATATTTTTGTCAAAACTTCTGCATTTGTTTAAAATTATTAAATTTATATTAAATTACTTAATTCTTATATTAAAGTTAAATTATTATTTTCTAAAATCTAATTATAATTTAATAATTTATTATAAAAATATATACTATATACATATAATAATAAAATATAATTATTTATTTAATACAAATTTCTGTATTAAGAACAAATTGTACACAATTATATACAAATAATTAGTATAAATAAACAAAACTTTTAATTCACTTTTATTTATTATAAAATAAGTTATTTTATTATACAAAATTGTTTCAGATTGATAAGATATATAAAAATATATTACAATGAATTGATATTACTATAATATATTTTTTAAAATAAAGCTTTACAAATAATATTATTGCAAATTAACTAAATATAATATGTAATACACTAAATAATCAAGATTTCAATTTTATTAAATATAAAAATTGCAATATGTGTATTACTAAAAAAATTTTTAATTTAATTTTTTTTTTTTTTTTTGGTATTAAGGTGAGGCCTTGCTCGTATCTTTATTGGTAGTTTAAAAATTAGTAGCTA